AGATGAAGGTGAGGAAGATTGTGAAGTCCCAGGAGAATTAGCCAGGTTACTACAACATGAAGAGAGGACCATTCAGCCCCACGAAGAACCAGTGGACACGGTTAACCTAGGTACAAGGGAGGACAAGAAAGAAGTCAGAGTGGGTGCCAATCTGGAATCCAGTGTCAAGAAGCATATGATTCAGTTGCTACATGATTATGTTGAGGTCTTTGCCTGGTCGTATGAAGACATGCCAGGACTTGATGCTGATATCATGGAATATCGTCTGCCAACAAAAGAAGACTGCCCACTGGTAAAACAAAAGGTCCATCGCATGCGACCAGACATGTCAGAGAAGATCAAAGCGGAAGTCATGAAACAATTTAATTCCGAATTCTTGGCCGTCACCTCCTATCCTCAATGGGTCGCCAATGTTGTTCCCGTGCCTAAAAAGGATGGAAAAGTGCGCATGTGCATGGACTACAGAGATTTGAATAGGGCAAGCCCTAAGGATGATTTCCCACTTCCCCACATCGATATTTTGGTTGACAATACAACACAACATAAGGTGTTTTCCTTCATGGATGGTTTCTCAGGTTACAATCAAATCAAAATGGCGCCTGAGGAACTGGAGAAAACAACCTTTGTCACACAATGGGGCACATTCTGTTACAAGGTTATGCCATTCGGGTTGAAGAACGATGGGGCAACCTATCAGCATGCCATGGTAGCTCTATTTCATGACATGATACATCACGAAATAGAGGTCTATGTGGACGAAATGATAGCCAGATCTTAAACAAAGGAAGAACATCTTGATCATTTACAGAAACTGTTTGAAAGACTAAAGAAATACAAGATGAGGCTGAACCAGAATAAATGCACATTTGGGGTGAGGTCTGGTAAACTCCTAGGCTTTGTCGTCAGCGGTAAACGTATCAAAGTGGATCCTGCCAAGGTGAAAGATATACAATAAATGCCTGCTCCTCGTACCGAGAAGGAAGTCAGAGGATTCTTAGGACGGCTAAACTACATTGCCAGATTCATTTCTCACTTAACAGCTACTTGTGAACCAATCTTCGAATTACTGAAGAAAGATCAAGTAATCAAATGGAATGATGAGTGCCAAACTCCTTCGACAAGATCAAAGAGTACCTACAAGAGCCTCCTGTTTTAATGCCACCAGTCGAGGGAAGACCCTTGATCATGTATCTAACTGTTTTGGAAAATTCAATGGGGTGTGTGCTGGGGCAGCATGACGAGTCTGGCCGAAAAGAGCATGCTATTTATTACCAGAGCAAAACGTTTACCGACTGTGAAACAAGATATTCACTGCTTAAGAAAACTTGTTGCGCTCTGGCATGGGATGCTCGCCGGCTAAGACAATATATGATGACCCATACTACCTTATTGATATCTAAGATGGATCCAATAAAATACATATTCCAGAAGCCTGCCCTCTCTGGGAGGATAGCAAGATGGCAGATGATCCTGCCGGAATATGACATTCAGTATACTACCCAAAAAGAAATAAAGGGCATTGTACTAGCTGATCACCTTGCTCAACAAGCTGTGGATGACTACCAGCCCATGAAGTTCGAATTTTCAGATGAAGATATCGTGATGGTAAACAACTGTGAAGAATTCAGACCATACGACGGACTTGAACAAGGATCCCGTCGGACCCTGGTTTTTGATGGGACATCCAACACACTCAGCAATGGTATAGGTGCTATACTTATATCCCCTGAAGGATGTCACACTCCCTTCACGACAAGACTCTGCTTCAACTGTATAAATAACATGGCAGAATACGAAGCCTGCATTTTTGGTCTCAAAGCTTCCATAGTTTTAGGGATCAAGTCCTTAAGTGTATTCGGAGATTCAGCTTTGGTCACCAGTCAGATCAAAGGAGAATGGGACATGAAGCACCCAAACCTCATCCCCTATAAAGAACATGTGTTGACATTAGTCCCATACTTTGAGGAGATTACCTCCGAGCATTTTCCGCGAGAAGAAAATCAGCTAGCAGACGCGCTAGCCACAATGTCATCCATGTTTAAACTTAAATGGGATAACGAGGCACCCCAGATCACCATTGAACAAATGGATGAACCAGCTCGCTGTCACGAGATCAATATTGAGGAAGTAATGGACCAGCCTTGGTTTCATGAAGTCAAGAGGTATCTCAAGAATATCCGAAAGGAGCTTCAGTAAACGATAAGAAGTTCTTAAGGAGATTCTCTGCTAAGTTCTTCCTTAGTAATGACATTCTCTACAAACGCAACCACGAATCTTCTTTGCTCCGTTGCGTAGACAAGGTTGAGGCAGAGAGGATCATGGCTGATCTACATGAAGGCACTTTTGGCACCCATTCTAGTGGGCATACGATGGCAAAGAAGATCCTACGGACAGGTTATTACTGGTTTACCATGGAAGAAGATTGCTATCAACACTCTCGAACCTGCCACAAGTTTTAGATCTATGCTGACAAGGTGCACGTACCTCCCGTTCCTCTGAATGTCCTGATGGCTCCTTGGCCCTTTCCTATGTGGGGCATCGATATGATTGGGGAAATCAAGCCAGTAGCCTCTAATGGACATCGATTTATCTTGGTGTCTATTGATTATTTCATGAAGTGGGTTGAGACAACTTATTTCGCTTCTGTAACCAAGAATGTTATTGCCCGGTTCATCAAACAAAATCTCATCTGTCGGTATGGTATTTCGGAGAGAATCATCACAGACAATGGTATGAATCTCAATAACAATATGATCACCGCACTGTGTGCACAATTCATGATCTAGCACCACAATTCTTCTCCTTACCGTCCAAAGATGAATGGTGCTGTCGAAGCCGCAAATAAGAACATCAAAAAGATCATACAGAAAATGACAGTCACGTACAAAGTCTGGCATGAGATTCTACCATTTTCTCTCCATGATTATCGTACCACGACACGCACATCAATCGGGGCAACACCCTACTCTCTGGTATACGGCATGGTGGTTGTCTTTCCTATTGAGGTCCAGATCCCCTCTCTGAGAATTATGAAGGATGCACAGTTGAATGAAGATGACTGGATCCAAACTCGACTTGATCAACTAAACTTGATTGATGAGAAAAGGCTTACTGCTGTCTGTCATGGTCAAATGTATCAAAAACGGATGATCAAGGCTTTCAACAAAAAGTCAGACACCAAGTGTGTCAAGTTGGGGATTTGGTGATCAAGCGCATCATACTGCCGCAAGGTGATCCCAGGGGCAAATGGACTCCTACCTACGAAGGGACATTTTTTATCAAAAGCATATTCTTTGGTGGAGCAATGATCTTAACCACTGTGGATGGCGACAACCTGCCGCACCCTGTGAACACGGACATAGTCAAAAGATACTACGCATAAGAGACCCGCTAGGTTGACACTCCTAGGAAAAATAAGGGCATCCCGGCGAACCAAAATGGTTCGAGCAAAAATTAGGGATAAAACAAAAAAATCTGTACACCCGGCAAGTTGAAAACCCAAAAGGGCGACTTGGGAAAAAAAGGGTATCCCGGTGGACTGAAAACCCGAAAGGGCGGTCCAGGAAAAAGTTAGGGAATTAAAGCGTATGACTATGTCCTGTTGGACCACCTTACAGACGACCTTTAGCTTTGACTAACAAACTCAACGGTTCTGATCAATCCAATCAACTTTGTACAAGGCAGCAAGTGGACAAGACACTCAGAGATACGAAGGCTATAGTAGAATGGGAAACCCATGGGATTATTACACATAGCTATCTTTTCTTTGTATCAAATTTTCATTTTTTACGACGACATTATAGAATGTTCATCTCATTGTACAAACATACTTATTCAAGTTAATACAAAGATACTCCTTTGAAAGTGCAAAACTATCTGTTTTTCCTTATTTCTGAGCTTTGTTTACAAAAACGTCCAATGATTTATTTTTGAACATATGCATTTGAACGTAACTACTATTTACAAATAAACAAAAGGGAACGAAAATAGAAATACAATCGCTAATGGCTTTAAGAAATAGGATAATATCTTTAGACTATTCCATGAATTCCCCACAGTGTGCATCTTAATGATGTCAAGCTCTCTCACATCCCTAATAGAACAAAACTTCCAGTTATCACTCCCTAGTAGAAGTCGCCAAATTCTCAGGATTCACCAACAAGATTTCACGAGCAGTACACGGCATTTCCCTTACAACAGAGTTTATTTCTCTACGAAATAGAAGCTCATCAACTCATCAGCACTTCAAAACATGAAGACTTACATCCACGTCCCCAACGACAGTCATGGATTTATTTTCCTTAATCCAACAATATTATAGCAGCATAACTTACATGCCCATGCATCGCATCCATACGTCATGAAATTAACAACACGAACGCATACAACATAATCTCATTTATTTTATTGAGAACATCATTATACAATGCATTTCATACATCATGACATCACATACAACTAATCTTTCATCTCTGCAGGAAAGGTCAGTCAACCGATGGCTATCATCAACAATTTACAAAAAGGTCAGAGATTGATACCTAAAACAAGCCAGGACACACTACGCCAAATAAGCTATTTAATAGCGCTTTTTTTTGTTTTTGATAGCGCTTAAAATTGCTATTAACCGCGCCACTATTGTAAATATTTCTTATTTAATAGCACTTTAAAAGCGCTATTAAAGTACCAATTTATAATAGCGTTTTAATTAAAGTGCTATCAAAGTCAGTATTTTGCATGTTTTTTGTTTGTTTTTTTATAGCACTCTAAACAAAAAGTGCTAATATATAACATATGTTTGATAGCGCTTTCAAATAAAGTGCTAATAAATGGTACATATTTGGTACAATATTTTTAATAAGTACAGTACAATATTTTTTCTTACACAATCATTTTTTTTGGTGTAAATATAAAATAACTATATTCAATTCAACACAAATAACGCTTTAAGGTACTCATTGCATATATATTATGATCCATCAAATACCAAATAACATTTTAAATTACCAAATCCTATTGTTTCCAAATATCATAACATATAGAATATTAAGAGGGCGTTTGCATAGCCAAATTTGTAGATGCCCATCTATGAGTACTTCAATCCAAATCCAAAAACATACAATCAAATTCTCTAAACAAAACACCAATAATATGTTTGTGGGACCAAGGTCTTGTCTCTCTTCTTCAGATAGAGCTTCTGTTAACTTCTCCTGACATTGATAAGTATAAAAGAAATAACCAATAGTTAGATACAAGTTGCAATTAATGGCTATTCTATCAAAATAAGACACAAAGACTCAATTAATTAAGGAAAATCGAGTTTAATGACTTCAAACTAACTAACAAAATACAAATTCGGTAACAATGATGAGTATAGAAAAAGTGTCACATCTATAATGTGAGCATTTTGGAAATAACATCTATAGTGTCACATCTATAATGTGAGCATTTTGGAAATAACATCTATAGTGTCACATCTAAAATTCGACTTACACATTGATCCACAACTCTTTGAACATTCTCATTATCAATCACCCCGCTCTTATTGACGCGGGCAGCCTTCCACACTTGACTACGGTTTATCTCACCAACTTCTGACTCTTCTACCTGTATATACATTTTTACAAATTAACATAGCAATTAAATTTTTTTATAATATTGTATAGTACATTTATACACATACTTACCATATCAGCTTCAAGACGAGCACACCCTAAACGTGACTTCATGAGCATCTTTAGGTACAACAAGATTGTTTTCAACTGCCTGAACCTGAACCAATCCTTACATCAGTTTGAAGTTCTCATCTGCTTTGTCTTTTATAAAGCACTTCTCAAAAACAAAAACAAAAAAACTTGAAAGCAATTTACTTAGAAAACGTACTAATGATTGAATGTGTTCTTGTGATTCAGGTTGATTCTGGCAAATAGAAGTTACTATTTGCGGATACATATCGAGCGTTCTTCCAGAGGATACAACTGCTTGCATGAGATAAGGTTTAAGTTTGAAGGCACAATTTGTAATTACTTTCTCCCCCAAGGTCCAACAAATAGGTGAAATAGTCTGAGAAAATCGAGTAAAACCAGATCATCACAGTGAAATTGATAAATAATGCAGAGGAAAACACAACACTAATAATGCAAAGTATGTTACCTGGTTCTCCTTTTTTACACTATCTAACAAAGGCCTAAGAAGATCCAAGGAAATATCTTCGCTTTCATCAAGTATCCCGGTCATTACATTCTCCATTGATTCAATTACATTACTCAGATGGTTTGACCTTTAAATTTAGCAAACAATATCTCAAGTAATTAACAAAACTAGATAGTGTAAGTTTATCCAAGGGGTAACTTGTACAAGAACTGATGCAAATTTTGCAGAACACTTGTTAGATAAAAAATCATTCATGATATGGATTCATCAAATAAGTGAAGGGTCATAAATTATATTAAATCTAACAAAGACATTGCCTACTCACTTTATAGAGATTACATGCATTCATCAAATAAGTATAACAAAAATCAAATCCTTTTCTCACGGCATGTTTCTTATAGGAAATGACATAGCAGAACCAATATCACATCAATGATTCATTCCCTAAAGGTTCAAAAATGTTTTACTTCGATCATCAATTACCAAAGTAACAAAAATAATGAAAAACCAAATGGAGGTATTAAATTTCATCTATGCAAGTTTTGAACGAGAACTACGTAGCACTGGTTCTTCAAATTGAAGGCATATTCGGTGTCTGACACTGACGCGACACCGACACATGTGGTTCAATTCTATCATTCAATTTATCTAATAATTACAACTTCTGAAATGTCAACGTCAACGGCATGTATCTGGTATCCGTGTTTGAGTCAGTGCTACATAAACCAGAAGTAACATAAAAATATATGTTGTGAGTGCGCTAACCTTATAATTCTCAGGAACTGTTGAAACATCTCCATAACCAGGTCATCACACTCAAGGTCCAGCATAATCAAGAACATTTTGATCTTTGAAAAATTTTCAAGTATGCTAATTGCTTTTTCATAGCTGCGGCCAGATACATGTGACAATTTTTCAAAAGCTGACACGGCCAGCTTCAAAAATTCCTGTCCACCATGAAATGAGATGTTTTTTCTGTACAACTTGAAAACTATCTATAATATATAGTATCTACAATGAAAATTACATCAAGTTAAAACAAGTACCTTCATCAGTTCATCGTCATAAGGTGCATCCGGTGCTGTAATTCTTGTAATCTGAGTGAGACAAGCTGTAACAGAAATCTTAACATCCTCGTCTGCGTGTCTCAAAAGTTGATCAGAAATCAATGTCTTCATTGGAAGTACAAGTGATCCTTGAATTTTCTTGGGTGGATCATGATCCAAGATTGATAATATCAGCTCCAATTTCTAAAAGTTTAAATCACCAAATACAAGGGGGAAAAATCAGAATTCAATCAGTCTTATAAGAACAGAAGCACAGGATTACATATTCAAGATATACAATTGAATTCAACAAATCCAGCAGAAACATAAACATATATCAATAGATATGAAAATTAGTAGAATAACGAAATAACGAAAAGCGCAAACAAATAACGAAATTTGATCACAGAGTTCGGCCAAGTGTACCTGCATTTACCAAATAAAATACTAGAATTGGTTTATATCATTACCCTAAATCATACCTATCAGCAAACTATGAGTAATAACCAACAAGACACAAAATTGAGCAAAGCAGGAAGATGAATTCAGCAAAATTCATGACACAAAAATGAAGCAGAAATGAGATAGGTTACATCAAGTAATTGAAGAAGCTTATCAACTGAAGAAGTCAAGTTTTTGGATAGCTATCTTCCAACATGTCTCAGCCAATTCACTGTATCATCATCAATCAAAACAATGCTATCAGTAGAACAAGCCATGTTTTGCTCACAATTACAGCACACAAAACCCTAAAAATCATCAATATACAACTCTACAAAACAACAGAAGCCTTATCACTCAAACTAGAACAAACTCTAATGACCTATCAAATTTTGTCTTCAACACTCTTTCTTTCGGTGACTTAACTCCATTCACAACATTCAACTCAATCTCACTCACAGCCAAATCAATTCTACTTAACTTCTCATTCTTTGGTATCCCCAAGAAAGTAACCTTTTCAATGATCCATTTTTGGTCCAAAGCAAATTTTCCATTTGTAACATTTGATCTTACAGAAACACTATTGTTATGAAATTCACTATAAAATCTAACAAATGCCCACTGCTCTTTCTCTTCTATATCAACAGCCTCACCATCATCCAAATAAACCTGTCCATAACTATTTCCATTTCCATTAAAAACAATCACAAGTTGGAATGCGGTGTTCCTGGCCGCTTCCGTTGTCAATTTAATTAACACAAAATCTGTAATCTAGTCAATTTAAAAATCAAAAGATGCGCGAATGAGTAGTGTTAGCAAAAAGCAATAAAATTAACACAAAATAGAAGTAATCAGTGCACTAATACTAGTTAATAATCCTAGATCACAAAAACAATGAAGTCGATGAACAAAAGAAAAAGGGTTCAAAATTTCAAACCAAGTACAAGAAGCCCTTATATCAGTGATGCACAAGGGAAAGGCTGCATATGAGCACAATAGCATAGACAGCACAATCCATGAAGACAGCATCAGCCACAGTCTTCAGCACCATTCCAATTTCCAATGTTTTTGCAAGTTGTGCATATTGATCAGAAGAATCAGCGCTGGCGCTGGCACTGGCGCTGTTCCGTCTCCTCCTCAACCTTTCATCAGAGCCTCTTTGTTTCCCAGAAATAATTTTCACAACAACAAAAGACGAATTTGTGAGGAGAACCAAGTAAAGTGGTCTAAAGCTTATAATAGTCTTAATCAAAGAGAATCCTAGACAAGAGGCAACAACCAATAAGGCAACTATAATCGAACAACAAAGACGCGTAAACCTTGAGGCATCAACGGCATTCGTCACATCCCTAGGGCTTATGAAATCGAAACTTCTAGGTTCTTCGAGCTGGGAAATTTCATCAGATGAATCTTGATGTGTTGTTGGTGGTTGAGGTTGAAATAGAGGTTGTGATTCTTGTACATGTTCAGGTTCAATTTCAGAATTGGGGAAACTTAAAATCTCACTTTCACTGTGTTGTTTTTCAGGCAAAATTTCGGCATCAACGTGATTCTGCAAAACGGAATTCGGATACTCCTGCTCCTCGTCGTTGGCGTGAGGCAGATCTGAAGAAAAGCAGTTGTAAAATCAAAATTGAATTCTAGGGTTTGTAGATGGATGATTACAGAAGCAATAAGAAGAGAGAAAATTGAAATGAAAGAGAAGAGAAGAGGTAGTTACCGGGAGGAGGGAGGGTTTGGATCTGACCCTGGATGAAGGCAAGACGGTCGGATCCTTGTTGGAGGATTCTTCTTCTTCTCCGGGCGTCTCTCAGGTTGTTTGCTTCTGTCATTTTTTTCCCCTTCCTCTTTACTTCAGCTCAGGCTTTGTATTGCCAACTGACTCAAATCCTTGAAATTTTTGTTTCTTTATGGTTTTGAGTTAACTCAATGCTGCTGCTAAAGAAATGTTAACTTTGATCTTAGTTCATTCATTTTTTATATAAATATAGTTTAAGGTTTTTTTAATATTATATATATAACATAGCGCTTTTTAATAAATGCTATTATATAGGTAGTCAAATAATAGCGTTTTATACAAAATGCTATCTTAAAGAAGTTTAATAATAGCGTTCTGGTACAAAGTGCTATCAAAATTACATAGTCTGTATTATATAATAGCGCCCGATTAAAAAGTGCTATTATAAATGTGTTTTTTCCATTTTAATAGCATTTTTTTTAAAAGTGCTATTAAATTAGGTGATACAAAAAATCATTTTTGGCGTAGTGACAATTATCTATACGACCAGCTGAACATTCAGATACAGTTCAGATACGCTCCAGACACGGACGCTGTTGTACCCCAAAATTTGCCCTCCCATATTCATCAAGAATTGTCAAAGTCAAGGTCACAAAATTCCCCAAGGACTACACAGCTCAACTGTCTCCTAGACAGTCAAAACTAGGGTTTGAGTTCTGGTCAAGCAAATGAACTTCTCAAAGGCCCAATCAAGTCTCACATGCTTAAAAAGATGGTCAAGTGTCTTCATGTCAAGTTTCAAGGCATTCAGCTCAAGATTGCACAGTCAAAACCCTAAATTGCACTACAGTCAACTGTAGGGGCAAAATGGTCATTTGACAGTCAAAAGTTCAAATTTTTGGTCAATATATCATTTTGAAGCCACAAACATCATTTGATCAATGCTTGATCATGATTCTCAAAATTTGGCTCAGAAATCATCAAAGATGCAAAAGTTGCTATATTTGGACAGCTGAAAAAGTCAACTGAAATTGACCAGGGCATAACTTTCACATGGATTATCAGAAAAATTCCATCCAAAGCTCATTTTGAAGAGAAAGACATTTCCTACAATTCATCTTCATGTTCCAAGTCCAAGAAATGCTCTCACAAAAAGTTATCAATTTCAACATTATAGGTCATTTTCAAAAGTCAACAAAAAGTGACTTTAAGTCAAAGGCCATAACTTGAGATTGGTAAATCAAAATGACATGGGACCAAAGGCATTGGTTAAAGGACTCAAAGACCTTTCCAAAATGTCCAAGAGCATGTGAAAAGCTTAAAAATTGACCAAGTTATGCCTTGTGGAAGTTGGGAAATTTTTGAGAATTTTGAAAAGTCAACATTGATGCAAAAGGCCTAAAAATGCAAATGGGCCCAATTTTCCTCCAAGTTTCTTCATGCCAAGCCTATGCACGACCACTAGGCCCAAAGGGAAGTATTCTCATATCTTTTAATTATTTATTTGAATTAATATTAATTTATATTCATTTAAATGATTTTAATTCATGAAAAATATAACCTTAACCTAAACAAATCTTTTTATACATGTTTGGATTCAATATTTCGTGCATATCCCATTTAGGAAGGTTTTGGATTGATTTGAACCTAATTGACACAAAAAACATGAAAAAAGATGTGAAAAGATTCTTAACAAAATCAAGTATCAAAAACCATTAATTCATGAGATCTTGTACAGCTTTTCCAACCTAGATCATTCCTTACATATACTAGAACATAACCCTAATGAAAAAAGACTGGAAGCTGCGCATAAGAAGCCCTTACCAACTTGAAATTTTGGAGAAAAAAGTCAATTCTGAAAAGCATTCTAGGGGACGATTCAAGCTCTAACTTTGATCTCAATAGTTTCATTGGAGTGTCCTGAACGCGTGCCAATCCAAAACAATCACAAAAGCTCCTGGAATTGGTAGACTACGTTCAAACTGTACCACGAATTTTTTGAAATCATAGATCATAATTAACGCATCTCCTTGCATTTTTATTTGTGGATTATTGTTCAGTGCAATGTTTCTAAACTAACCATCATGTTTAATTGTGTTTTCGCTGACCATACACGATAATGCCATGGATGGAAGTTAGGGTTGCAGGTTTCATGATTTAGGGCTTTTGACATGGAGTAAAATTAAGCCTCGAGACTGTGATAGCCATACTCAGCGTGCTCCAACGAGCAAGAAACTATAATCGCGCCCAATTTATATTTGCCATAGCGCTAGTCGCTATTTTCCCGTTGCTTGCCTAAGACCACGCCCAGAAACCGTTGCAATAGGATTTTGTTTTCAGGAAAAAGAGAAAGGCGTGAGGAAGATGATGAGTTGTCAGCTGGTGGTTCGTTAGTTCAAATAAGCGCGCGTTTTAGTTAGTGGGCGTTGGTTTTGCTTTTTTTGTTATTTGTTTATTATAATATCTCAATTGACTCACGTAGCTCAGCTGGCAGGGATTAACACATGTGACCTTCAAGACCTGGGTTCAAGTCCCAGGTCTGGCAAACGTTCACTATTATTTTTCAATAATTATTCATATGCAGCGCTATTATGGGGTACCACCATACGTCCTCCTCATCCATTAGCCACGCGTCCACAATGATCAGATCAATGACCAAGCTTCAGGGTGCAGCGTACACCTGGTCAAACGCACCATACAGGATTCCCAAAGTCAACGGATTCAAGCTTAATGGGCCTTAAATTACCAGGCCTCACCTCCTAATTTGGGGCTACACCCCACCTTGGTTTGCATATTTTATATTTTTATTCTTACTCTTATTTTTGTTATTTTATTTATTTTATTGTTTAACATAATTAATTTATTTTTCTTACAAAATATAAAAACACTAAAAAATCAGAAAAGGCCAAAAATTAATAAATATTTATATATTAATTATTTTCATGAATAAATTAGAATGTAAATTATGTAGTGTAATTAGGTTTTAATTTTAATTCCCTTTTTAATAAAAATCCAAAAAATGTAGAATTTAGGTTTTAATTGTTAACTCTTTTTATTTCCCTTTAATATTTTTCCCCTTTTTTAGAATAATAATTATTATTTATTTATTTATTTTCCTATAAAAATTGTACAAATTAATTTAGAGTTTAATTTAGATCATATTTTAATTCCTTCATGACAAATAAAAAAATATTAGAATTAGGGTTTGCCGTTTAATTTAATTGAATTAATTCATTTTTTCATTAAATCTAAAAAACACCAAAATATCATTCTCATTTAATTTTAATTTTTAAGTTCTTATTAATTTTAATTATTTGCAAAAGGGTCCAACGTCCTAGTTTCGTTTTAATTCTTTAATTTGCGCATTTGTCTTATGTCGTTTATATAATTATGTAATTGTCCCTAAGCCATGTAATTTTACCTTTCGCACTTTATTTATTTCGCTTTATTTATTTTCCGCTAAATCGGGTCCGGTTTAACTTTGGCGATGTGGACCCGCGCCTTTGTAATAATTTAGAACTTTTAATTTCCGCATCTTTTTTAACTGTTAAATAAATGCATGCAAGAATGAATGACAAAAATAAAAACAAACGCATAGATCACTTTGACATGACAAGACAAATAATTGAAACATGACACACAATTCGCACACACCACCCCTAGGGTACGCCTCACTGTTGCCTTGCCTCGAAAGGTGATCGTCGAGTAGAGGACGTCTTAGTAAGTCCTCATGATCCGGGAACCTGGCATGAGGGTAGCTTCTAAGGTGTCTTCCCATTGCTCTGGTGATCACCATGTCCCGAACCTCGAATTGACCCGAATACCTCCAACGGTGGTGCTACCTACCTCTCAATGGTGGGATGGCACTACTTTAAAGGACATTTACACAGACGAATTCCTTAGGGTAGGTAGGTTCTCAAGGATACTTGCTCTAATCTCAAAACAAACTCAAAAGACTTTTCACACTGACACATTTTCAAAAGCTTTCAAAGCAAACTTTTCAAACACTCTGACGTACGAGTCGATCTGAAATTTTTCAAAAGAAACTTTTTAAACCCACATTGAAAAGCAAAACAATTTTGAAAACACAAATGAGCAAGTATCTAAGAGCCCATGGAGAACCATGGATAGAAAGGGTGCTAACACCTTCCCTTTCTATAACCTACCTCCCGAACCGAGAGCAATCTCTATAAGGAATTTTTCTGTGCTTTTGTCCTTTCCATTTGGAGAAAATAAAAGACGGTGGCGACTCTTGCTTCCGCGACATTTCGCGAACCAGCGTTAAACAGTCAGTTCCAGATCCACCGATCACAGAACTGGCGACTCTGCTGGGGATACTTTATAAAGTGAGGTGTACCTTAGGGCTAGTTCATAACTGTGTTTTCAATTGCTTTGACTTGTGCGCTTTATTATTGTGGGACTGTCTTGGGAGTTCTATAGATCCTACACCCGGATCTGGGGGATACCTTTCTTAGAAAGTAGCAACAAGGCTGTGAGGGAACTGTGCGGGGTATACCGACATGGTTGAAACAGTCTGCTACGTTGATGTGGCACTTTGGTGTGTACCGGTAACCCTTGAGTTCAGTCAAGGAGAGTACGGGGCCTCCGCGTGGTGTCGTGAAGCATCAACAGACCTTAGGAACCTTAATTGAACTATCTTGGCCTCTTTAGGGTAGTGAGATAACTGACTTTGGTGCAGTCCGAGGTTGGTTGATACTCGATACTACACCCAATTGAGGGTTGCTTTCCTGGAATATTTCGGTCGCCAGTTCAGTGGCTAAATCGAAACGATGAACAATGAAAGCAATCCCGTGATATTGGGAACCTTAGAACCCGGTTACTTTAATTAGGACAGGTTGAGCCCACCCACTTCAAGAGGGTAATACCCAGACCTCATGCTGGCCTAAACCTAAGGGCTCTCTCTTGTGTGACTTGTGTGCCTTAGTACTTGACTATCTGCATGCTTGTGACTTAACACTTGTTTCTTGCAGGTTCCGTTCATAGTCCTTAATTGTGACTTATAACAGGGGGTACTAACCATTCGCAGGTTCTGTTTATAGTCCTTAACTAGGACTTATGACAGGGTTTACCAAA